GGGTCACACTAAAAATCTATGGAAAGAGGGTAGATGTTGAGTCAAAAACTAATTTAACTTTTGACTCCATCTCAAATATAGGGCTATATAATATGATAGGATGTTTGAAATTTGAATAGTGTACTTCTATTGTCAACTAGAATTTTGATTACATGGTAGGGAAAGGATTGAATGGTTTTAATTTTCCAGTAATTTTAAGAAGATATTTTTAAAAATAGCTTATAGTTTTCTAGATTGAAATTGCTAAGGAATAAATCAAATGTTAATGATGGATAATATTTTAATACTCTGTTAAAAGTATATTGATCTAAATTGTTCAGAAATCATTGGAACATTAGTTAGTATTCAAGGGATGACTATCACATAATGAGATGGCTTTTAACAAACTCATTAAAACGCACTCAATTGACAAAAAATAAATTGAATGTGGACTATTTGTATGGCAAGTGAGGAAAACTAAAATGCGCAAGACATAGTCTCTGCCCCCAAGGAGCTTATGTATTGCAATAATTTTTGTACTTCAATATAATCACGTTGGGAAGCTATCATCTTTTCACAATGAGATCATTCATGCTAAACATTTAGGAACTTCTTTGGAATTGTCTTCAGGGCCAGTTTAAAACATTTGTGTTCACATATGCACACACACATACACTCATTATCACTCATTGTTTTAGAACAGGGGTCTGTGGGTCAAATCCAGCCTACTGCCTATTTGGTATGGCCTCAGAGCTAAGAATGTTTTTTTTATATTTTAAAATGGTTAAAAAAATAAGAACAATCTATTGTGATATAAAAATATATGAAATTCGAAATTCAGTGTTCATAGATAACGTTTTTTGGAACGCAGCAATGTTGATTCATTTATGTACTGTCTACGATAGTAGAGTTGAGTAGTTTTGGCAGAGATCATATGGCCCTCAAAGCCTAAAATATTTACTATCTGGTCCTTTAAAAAATCATAACTTTAGGATCATATCTATTTTTTTTTAAGGATTCTTCAAGTATCATCCCTTGTTTCTTCTACAGATTTGACTCTGAATTGCTTTTTTACAGTTTTTAAAAATCAAACTTTTCCTCAGAGATCAAAGATTTTATTTGACTTCATGGACATTCAAAGGAATCTGATTCAGGCTTTGAAGTTGACCCCAAAGAGTTCCCAAATACTATGCGTCGTGGTCATGTTGTGCCTACACTGAAGGGGGAAGTCCCTGAGTTAGTTGGGCTGTCAGGAATATGGAGAAGGAAAAGACCTATAGTAGTCTTCCAATAAGGCCTGAAAGAGAAGTGGAACAATGTTTGGGTACAACAGAAAGGTAAGAGACCCCCATTCTTTGTCCAGATGTCTTGATTTTGGGTTTCTCTCTGCCTCTCTGTTGTGTTTCACTGTGACTCTCCTTCTGAGTGTACAGACTGTCATCATTCTCTTCTAATGTTCCCCACCCCATGGGTTCTGTTTACTGGTAGCTTGCATTGTCTCATTGCTTCTGCTTATTCTCTGTGGCTCTCTTACATCCCTCTTGGTGTCACACATTCAGACATCCTAAGAGGAAGGATGTAATTAGGTTTCACCATCACTATTACCCTTTGATGTGCAGAGAGCTTGAGTTAGGTCCCCTCTCAGTTAGTAGCACAGTCCACAGATGACTAGCAGGGCAGGGAGAAAAAGTGGACCTAAAATTTGACGTGTTAACACCCATTTGAGAAATGTTTTCTCTTAGAGAGTCATCTGTTGATTTCTTGGTCCCTTAATATGCTCTGGTATAGGGGCCTCCAGGCATCAGGGATATTGCTCAGAACTACAGGTGACTGTCCCATCATAGAGGTTAACAGCCAAATGGCATTAAGTCAGTGGATAAATATGTTCAAAATTGCCATCTGTAGCCCATTACCTGAAAGCTAACTATAAAATAGTCCAAGAGGAAAAGAGAGACAGGTGCCACTGGGCGTTATCCAGGTAAATAGAAAGGGAAGAGCAAGTCATGCTGAGGCAAGCCTGGAATGCTCAGTAATTGCCAACCTGTGACCACTGGGATCCCAGAATAGCTTATCCCAAGACTATTAACATATCTGCAATTTTATGTCTCTGCAACAAAATATTGACCAAATTTTAGTAAAGCCATTGGCATGTACAGAGGTTTTCATTTGATACTCAAGAAATTTGAACTTTTAAAATAAACTGTCCATATTTTCAAAGCTCTCCCCATCTGTTGTCATCACTTACAACTTTTCTCACATAGTGTTATTAAGACATTTGAAGTAGAATCAGAATAAACCAGAGGATAATGGGATACTTGTTCTAGACAAACTGCCTCTAGGTCTGGGACCCACAGAAACCACAGTGACCCTGAGCCCTGGAGCCCCAGCCCAATGGTGCTGCCCCATGGGAACTTCTTCTTGTCTACTTCTCTGTGACAGTCACACCTGCCTTTCCTAGACACCTAGGGTATCCCATTTCCGGTGTGAATGGGATTCCTCTGGAGAACATCGCTCTTTTGGTTGTCAGATAGACTCAGTCTCCTCCTAAAACCTGGGTCCCCAGCTTTGGGAAGCAGAGGAGGTAAAGGCTGAGGCTATGAGCTTTGACCTTGGCCTGTCCCAGGATAAAGCAACTGTGACTGGACAACTTGGACAACACTGAAGGTGGGATGCCCACCAGAATTACGTGCATATTAGAAATTAAAAATTAAAATCCTTTTAGGGTGGTAGCAGAGGCAGATATGTGCATTTGGGAAAGGGTAAGGAAAGAGGTTCTTTATATGAAATATTCATTAACTTTTATAAACTTGTTATTTTCTCCCTTTTTACTGTTCTCCCTTAACTGACTTTGCCTTTGCCATTAAATGCTTGAGTTACCTCAAACCATAGGAATGGACTTTGGCCACCACCTTCTGCCCTGCCAATTAATTACTACCCAATTGTTCCTCTTCATGAGAGAATGAAAAACAGGAAGGTATTCCCCTGGCCATGCCTGTGGGTATCTGTAGGAACATGGTAGGAAGCAATGGGTGTGGTAAATCCTGACGCCTGGGTTGTAGCACATCTTCATATCATGATAGGTGAAGTTAATTAACCCATCCAGATAAGAGTCAAAAGCAAGCAGCACAGCTCTGAGCTTCAGTTTTGAGCATGAGGATAATTTTAGAGAGAATAAGATGTTTTGAAATTATGCAGCGATCTCTGTTAAAGTGATAACAGCTGGTACCAACTTGACAAATCAAGAAATTTTATAAGAAAGATAAACCGCACACTTCTTGTGAAACCCGGCCAGGCTAATATCATCAGGGATTACAGCAAAGCACTTACTACTGTCAAGTCGACGCACAGCCTAGTTGACCTTTTATAAATGGATGAAAATAAGTTTAGCAAATTCCAGCAGGCTCTATTGAAAGATAGGCTGGAGGTGAGGAGTAGGAGGTCCGAGCAATTTTCCTAACCCAGCCAATCAGCAGTAATTGGCAAACTGCCTTCTCCCCTGAGAGCCCGGGAGATGTGTGGCCGTCCGTGGGTAAGCCCTGCTCGCCGCGAGTGCACTTTACTGACTATCTTTGCCGCTTTTTGGGTGTATTTCTCCCATGAGCTCTAACAATAATGCTCATGAATCTGAACCTCGTGACTGGTAAATGTTCTCCGGCCTTGACAATAAGTGCTGCGGCTCTGCTCCGATATTCGTTTCCTGCCAAGGTCCGGCCTTGATACCCTGCAGTATCTGCCTTGCAGCCCGAGGCCATTATCAAGCAGCACATTTCCATTTCCTGGAGCATTATTTCTTTTAAGTATTTCTCAGTGAAAATGAGAGCCATTTTGAGATGATTACACCACAGTCAACATCCTGCTGCAGGAGCCATCCGCAATTCTGTCAGCCTCAGTCCCTTGTTCCTTGACTGTCCTGTGTAAGGCTCCGCCACAGGCCTGGTCTGCCACCGGTACTTGGACACAATTCTTTAACCAGCGATCACTTTACTTTTTTCTCTCCCTGGCTCCAGCCAAAAAGAATCATTTAATTAGGTCCAGTGGTATGAAATGTGTTTCTCAAATGCGAGCCAATGTGCGATACTGTGACTTAGCCCAGAGCTCAGAGGATTCCCTGAGTGACCTCCCGGGACACTGGAATGGAAGGGTGACAGGACCAGGCCCTCATGCTGAAACGGGATGCAGATGCGCCCAGCTCTCTCTCTGGCTTGGTAATGAGGCTTGTTAGTTACGGCGCCCACTTTGCTTGCTGACTCCGTTAGCATTTTTTCTTTTCAATTTGGATTTTGGCCCACACTGTGCCCTTCCTATGAGGCACGTGCCATTTTGATTTTAAAAATAATGGTGAGACTGCTCTGGCACTGCTCGTTGGTGATATGACTCTCAAACTGTCTGCAGATTGCCGAGTAAGTGAAATGTTTTGACAGAGAGAAATATGTGTTGTCAACATTGCTTTACCCATGGTTGAGAATGGAAATTGAAACTGTACTTCAGCAGGGTTCAGATGTTGATGGCTAGAATGATCTCCTTGGAACAAATGACTACAGACCATTTTGTTTTCCTTTATGCCTCATTCTTCTCTAATGAAATGCCCAATTAAAAGCATAGCTCATGTGCTTAAAAGCAAAGGGCTTAGAAAGGATTCTGGGAAGGCACAGTGACAGCAGCAATCCTTCACGGCAGGAGAAAATCATAGTGCCCTTGTGAAGAAACAGTATCGTGCTGTGACCTCCAGTGATCTGGGTGGTGATTTTAAAGGAAACCCAAAGTGAACGTAACCTTTCTAAGACACAAAGGTTGTGTATTTCTGTGAGTGTAGGTGTGTGGACAAGAGTGGGAGAGAGACATGATTTATTTGTAATACATCAAATAGGCAGACACTGGCTGGAAAAAAAAAAAAACAAACTCCTAGTAGAGTGATACATTTAGGACAACTCGTGAATTTGTCTCTGGGATTAAGTGGAAAATAGAGCTGTGCAACTGTGCGTTGTCCAAGCAAAATGAGGTTCTCTCTGTTTCCATGACAGGTGTGTTGCTGTCCAGAGCTTGTCAGGAGTGGGAACGCAGGCAGCTCGGGGTGCCCTGCTGACCATATCATCACATTCAGGTTTGTGTTGTGGAAACTTCTGTCTATTTTTTTGCTTAGTCAACACTCTCGATAAGAGAAAATGCTGACAACTTTGCCTTTCTTGAGAATCACTAAGGAAACATTTCTTGTCAATCTCCTATCAAGTGCATGTAGAAGGGAAAGGGGGTTTTGCTTTGGAGAATGGCCTTGACTTTCAACATGCATTTAACAACCCATGTTTACGTGAGTACCTATCATGTGCAGGAGCATCTGCTAGTCATCACCAGTCACAAACATGAATGAGCTACATTCCTATCCTTAAGTAGCTTAGTACTTTCTCCTTTAAAAATCAACAGCCTAACTGGAAGGGCTAGAAGAGGGGTACAGAGAAAGTAATAAGGGAATTTTTATTTGTCGAACTTCCTTACATGGCCCTAGGAACTAGGCAGATCTGAATTTGAACAGTGGCTCTAACACCTATTCACTGTGACTTTGGTTGGTGCAGTGTATGTAACTTCTCTAAGTCTCTATTTCTCTTATTTGTTAAATGGGGACTACCTGGTCACTGCTGGGCTGTTGGGGTAAATGCATGAGATGCCGTGTGCACAGGATTGGTGCAGTGCTGGGATGTCAGCTTTCTCCCAGCTCTTTTATGCCATGCTGCATCCCCTGGCAGTCATGCAGACGCCTCTCACAGCCTGCCTGTGCTCCTCAAGTGACCACTGGAATTAAGGTGACTTCTCCAACTGTATTTTAGCTCTGCAACATAAAGAAATCTAACGCATGGGGATGACCATATAGTAGTGAGGATAGTTTTTTAAAAACCAACTTTCCAAAATTTATGTCCAAATGATTTTGGGCTCTTCAAAGAATGATCACACATGAGAGGTGTGGTAGTCATAGGCTGCTCACCAATATGCTGGCCCTTCTCCTTCCAGGCACCCAGCAGGGTTTTACTTCTCCATACCTGGGACATTAGGCATGCCACATAACTTTATGTGGCTAATGAAATGTGAGCAGAAGTGACTAGTGTCACTTCCAGGAGGGAGCTTTAGAAGATCCCACTCTGACTGCTACCACCATCATGGAAGTCAATGCTGAGATGGGGCTTGTGTCAGCCTAGGCCCGTGACATATTACAGGGAGCAGGAGCCCTCTGATAATCCATGTTAAAAATAAAGCAAGGGTGAGAGGGCCCTTTATGATCAGACTTTTGTTGCATTGCACTACTGAGATTCTCAAGTTATTTGTTTGTGTTCTGCCTAGATTAATATAGGAGATTGCACATGTGTTCTAAGAATTCTGCCTTGCTCCAAACATTTCAGTAATTCCTGTGGTGGAATTGCATTCAGGGTTAGCCTATGACAACCACAGTCTCAGTGTAAAGCCATTCTTGCTCTCTGCCCAAGCAGTATTGCCAGGCTTGACCCTCCCTTTTACTCATTAGACTTGACTCTGACTGATCTGCTCCAAAGAATAGATTGAGCATCATTGAGCCTATTAGGATGAATGTGCCCTTTAGAAGCAGTAGCTTACAAAGGCTGGAGTGGGATATGGAGGCAGTTTGCCCAGGGTGCAGGCAATAAGAAGATGTATTATCTACAGAAATTTTTAAAATAATACAACTGACTAAGTTGCAGTCTCTTTTTTTATCATCACCACAAATCTGCATTTCTAAACAACATTAGGAACAAAATACTCCACCCTTCCCCACTATATAACTGTTCAGAAAGCAGTTACAAAGAGGAATTTTTAAAACTTTTGAACAACAGAAATGCAAATTGGAGTGTGGGCCACTATGGTGAGGGTTTTGAAAAAGATAAAATTCATTTGGGATATTTATTTAAGAGAAAAAAGAAAAATCATTCCATTTTATGGTTGCCCTTTGTACATTAATTTGGGTGTTGGCTTATGCATTTGTTTCTAGTCATAAGGACATTTGTCTAGATCTTGTTCTCTCTAGATTGTAAAACCCATGAGGGCAGGACTGGGCCCCACTCATTCTTAGGTCAGTTCTGTGGTCCTGTACACATAATTGGTCTCCAATATATATGTTAGAAGATTTAAACTAGGCTAGCAGTGAAACAGTATTTTCCTTTTGGTTTTTGTCAGTCATGAACATGACAATCAGGACAATGGCTCTGGCCCACTGCTTTGATGGGTCTCCCTGTTTTAGATGCTGAGAAACTCAAGGTGCCTTCTCTTTGGAGAGAGACATGGGTTCCAGCTGCTCGTGCTAACAAAGATCCTAGGCTTATCCACATCTGGCCTGTGACCCACATCCACTGGCATTCAGTAACACTGGGAAGGGGGTGCCTCTCCCTGTGTCCACATGTGTGCCCTGGGTTGCTCTTCAGTGAATATCACTGGTCCTTTCATGTTCTTTCCTTGCTCTGTATCTGTGTGAAATGACGATCAAGAAGGATAGGGGAAAAGGGAAGAACAAGTTTGATTTTTCTCAAGAACTGTACTCCTACATGAGAGCCTTGGTTGCAAATAGGATCCTGTAGGTGACAAGCTGGGGGTAGGGGCTGGAGAACAGCTTGAATGCTGGCTGCAACTCCAGAGTCTAGTTCTGGAAAATATGAATGAATCTGATGCTTGTAAAGGTGATGGTTTGGATTGATCCACAAGAGTCAATCATTGAGGAAAGTTCCTGGATACCAAGTCATAGTGAGGTTGGACTTGGGGGAAAATGTTACCCTCTTAAAATCTGATTGTTAAGTTATGATGGTGGGAGGGGCTTGAGGGGATGCTTGGGCCAGAAGGAATTTTTTAAATCATTTTGGATGACTACCTTAATGTTTTCTGGGTGAGGGTCTAAGATTGAAGGGAGCATGTGCAGCCTCTGGCCTGTTTGGGGTCCATCCCAACTTTCAAGGGACCTTCCAGAAGAAGAGAGTGGCCTTGGGAAGACCATCTTGTGAGCTGGAGCAGGTCTCCAGGGCTAGATTGATGTCATCCAGGACTTTCAGATGTGTCGGGGTTAATGAAAAGCCAAACAACCCAAGAATTTTCATTTATGCTTTTTCCAGAAAAGTATAGGGTCATTTTTGAGCTCCTGGAATAAAATGATAGAATGCAGAGAAACTGGAAAATATCTACATTTCTCTACTGCAAGCTCTATGCCTGTGGGTTTGGCAGTGAGAGTTTAGTTGACTGATGTGCAAGTGCTTTTGCACTTACAGACTTGACGTGAGATTCTAATAAAAGAGGTGCACAAATGCTTGGCCTTGTTTTTGCTCCCTGAGAAGAACTCCTGGACTTTTCCATTATCCTTCCTGGAAAGAACAACTGAGTGGGCAACCCTAAACTGATTCTGAATAAAGCAAGTATGCCTGGCAGAATTATCTGATTTAAAGAAAACAATTCTTGCCTTAGGAAACATATATGTGTTTCTAAGATTTCTGATAGAATGCTTCGGTAGATAAGTGGGTTTAGAAACCATGATTACTACCATATTTCTTATAAAAAATCTTGGAGTAATTTAGAATATGATCTTTTTTTTTGTTTCTGTCCATTGGCCATTTGTTATTCAGACAATAATAGGAATACAACTCCAAGCATGACCTTGGGCAGGTCACTTAACAGTTTTAAGCCTGTCATCCATGAAACATAAGGGTTGTACCCAGTAACCTCTGAGGTCCCCACTAGTACCAGAAGTCTCTGATTTGGATGAAGGGGGAGACAGCTGTCAAGGTGAAGCTATGTGTGCACCCCCATGCCATTCCTTTTTCATAACTTACATTTTCCTTAGTGCCTAAGAAATGCCATTACATAAATGTAAGCCTTCAAATAGTGTTTTCTCTTTTCATTCTAAAAAAGGTTTTGAACTTTGCAAAAAAATGTTTTGGTTAAGATGGAGCAATTAAACATACTGTTGAAACATTATTTTTAGGTTTGCATATTATTTCACAAACCCATTCCCTCTGTCTCTCCTTTGTCAAAGGATTTAGGCAACTTATTTATTTGGCTTTCATCAACTATCTTTTTTCCTTCCTATTCAAAATAAGCTCTGTTTCCTTTTTCCTGGCTAGATGAAAGCCTGTGTACTCTGTTCTTCCTGATATCAACCCAGCGATGGTGCTACAGGGGTTCACGTCACTCCAGATAGTCAGTTTCAAAGGGAAGTTCGGAGGCTGTGGGATGAAAAACAAGCTTCAATTTTCCTCTTCAGATCTCTCCAATACATACTGTCTGTGTATTATTGCAGAAAACCCATTCAAAAATAGACCATTTCCTTCCCTGACTCGGTGCCAAATCAAGAAGTGGCACATAATGTATTGTTGTGTTTATTATGCATCATTTTGCTGCTGACACTGGGGCCATCAAATATTGGGAAATTTACAGCCAGGGAGGTCCAGCCATCATGCCTGAAGTGAAGGACAAAGTATTCTGTTATTCATCTCCAGCTCCGGCCCTTTATGATCAGACAGTGAGCAATATACTTATCAAAGTCAAAATAACCTTCACTTTAGAAAACATACTTGTCCTTAATTGCCAGAATAAGAATACATAAGCAGCCTCTCTCTTGATAATGGAATGAAGGCTGAGTTGATGTAAGTTTTGAATATTTTGTAATTTGCCAATAGCTGTGTTCTCAATTAAGTTTTAATTCACAAATTGTGTGTATATTGTACCGGAGAAGTAGAAAACAATTTGTAGTTTAAAACTATTTATATAGCCTAAATATGTACATCTTACTTATGATATGTACACTTATGCTATGTATTTTTCTCTTTTGAGTCAAAGCTAAGGCCGGCCAGTAGTCCTATTACTATGCCCCAGTAGTCCATAGCTATTAAGAGCTTGAATGCTGAAACCAGAAAGACGAGAGAATGAATCCCCGACTATCTCTGTGACTTAGGCATATGCCTCCATTTACTCCTCTGTAAAATGATAATAATAATAGTACCTACCCCCCTAGAGAGGCGTTTTAAGGGTTAAATATATCGCGTATATTGCAAAATGCTTAGTTTAGTGCATGGTACATCATGAGAACTTGAGGAATATTAGCCATTATTATTATTTCCCGCCCTCCTATTATTGTTAAAAACAATAGTCTGTAGAAAACACACATTGTCAAGTCCTTTATATAAAAGGTACAGGAAGCAAGTGTTACTTTACAAATATATATATATATGTGTGTGTGTGTGTGTATATATGTATATTATGGTTCTAGATGGTGTAGGGAGGCATGTAGTTTTGAGAGCTTGACAGAGATGACTCAGCAGAAGACGGCAGTGAAAATAATTCTTACTTGATATGGCATTCCTGTTTACTGTTTACTGTGCTTACCTCAAAATGTACCTTATGCAAGACACAAGATATCTTATATGTTGGAGTTGGATTAATCTATATAGTGGCCTCTGAGCATTGAAAGTTAGAGATGTTTATTCGGAAATAGTCAGGTTCTAATATGTGGATAGTACTCCTGTGCCTACAAGTTGCAGTGTGGCCAAACGTAAAGGAAAAAATAATTAGGAAATGAGTGCCAACTCTGTTTTGGGAAAGACAAGGAAAATCTCTGGAATTTGGTCATTCTTCCTAGCTGAGACCAGGAGGTGACATTAATTGACAAGCATCTTGTGAGCTATAAAGTCAGAGTGACAGCATTTGCTTTCTTGGGTTGTCAAAAATCCTTTCTAATGATGGTGGGTGAGTCATCAGAAGGTGAATGGGAGAAAAGGGCTTGAGAAGAGAAACATTGAGAAATAAAATGATTGGCCATTTTATTTGCAGAATAATTGGCTTGAGAGTGTCGTTCTTTTTCTTTTTTTCCCCCACTCTCTGGTGTCACTGTAGGATTAAGTTTAGGCAAATGAACTGTTAATAGGCCATAATTTCAGACCAATAGCCTATTTAAAAAATCACAAGACAAACAATAGAGGACTTTATTTGAAATGAAAATTACAGTTTGCGTATTTTTATCTCTTCCTTTCCTTTCCTTCTTCAAACTAAGTTGAATAGACAGGAAAAACTGTTAGAATCTGCTCGTAATTCATCTCTCTCTTCCTCTCTGCCCGTCCACACACCCCAAAACAAAAGCCTTATCCAAAGTCGTATCCAAAAGTCTTACTGCAAACTTCCCATTCAAGCTGTACGTGTATTCCATAAAAATTGTTTGGCTTTCACAAGAACCACCATTCTGAGAAGAGGAACCATGATGCATATTAATAGGTGAAGAAAGCTTTCCTGGGAAGGACCATAAACCTTGAAGGCCATAAACTCTGGAATTGGATTCCAGAATGAAAGTGCTATGAAAGCCCAGAGCACAGGCTAAGTATGTGTGGGACCGAGTAAATAAAAGTTTTTTGTCCCAAATTGCAAAGTACAGTTAGTGAATTGTTTACTGGGCTCTGCCACCTCTGCCTCCTCCTTTTGGCCCACTCGTGGCTTTCCGAGTGTAACTCTGCAATTAATGGAGAATATAAAATTTAATGAAATAGGGTAAAATTTTGGCTGGCTAAATTTTTTTTGAAGAGGTTTCATTATAAATTTTAAAGAGATGTTTTTGGCTGGCATTTTGAACTGAACAAGAAACTGTCATCAGATTAGTACGTTGACCTCCAGAGGCACAGTTCTCTCCAGAAGGCTACTCTCGTGGGCACAGCTGCCTCTAGTAGGGGCCGAAGGGGAAGCCCAGCTCTGGCTTGTCCTGTGTGTACCTGAAGCCTAGAAGCAATTCTTCATGACAGTCAGCTTTCCAAGTGGCCTCCCTCTTTCCTGACATTGCAATCTTAAAGGTGCCTGTGATTTCATAGTCTTCATAAGGCCACAGAGGAGTGTTTGTTACCAGGTTTGTAGCACTAATCCATACTCATTCATGCCGGATCTCCAGTAGAGTTTCTGCCAAGCACTGCGGGCCCCACCCAGGCCTCCCACGGTGCGGTCACAGCACACAGGTTCACTGGGAGAAGCTGGTGCCGCTATCTGTGGCACATTTTCAGTCCATAAATCCTTGGCATCCCCATGACTGCTTGCTAGGCCTCCAGCCAGTATTACAGCATATGTGTGAATGTCACATTCCTGAGAGGGAGAACTGAGCTTTCTCTCCTGGACGGTGTGTACAGACCTCCGGGTGCTGACCAGGCATGGGCTGTAGCTTGTACAATGCTCTTCTTTGACCCGTGTCCCAGGACAGGGCCCAGGGCCTTTGTATACAGACACATACAACCGCCCCTCACAGCGGGCGTGCAAGTGCTCTGTTAATATGAAAGGTGGCAATGTGTTTATTTTGCTTTGGGTTTAATTGAGCCACAGACACTTCTTGCTTTTTTTTCATTCCAGTAGGATGATTGGGCTTCCCAAGGTTGGCAGTACCAGCCGAGAAGACATGTCCTGTAGAAAGCTAAGGCATCGCTTTAATAAAGAGTTGATGATTACAGATGAGTCCTTGGAGATGGGAGAGAAAAATGCCACATATATTAGTTTTTTTTTTTTAAGACAGAGTCCCACTTTGTTGCCCAGGCTAGAGTGAGTGCCATGGCATCAGCCTGGCTCAGAGCAACCTCAATCTCCTGGGCTTAAGCAATTCTGCTGCCTCAGCCTCCCGAGTAGCTGGGACTACAGGCATGTGCCACCATGCCCGGCTAATTTTTTGTATATATATTGTTAGTTGGTCGATTAATTTCTTTCTATTTTTGGTGGAGACGGGGTCTCACTCAGGCTGGTTTCGAACTCCTGACCTTGAGGGATCCACCCGCCTCGGCCTCGCAGAGTGCTAGGATTACAGGCGTGAGCCACCACGTCTGGCCAGTTTTAATCACATAATTCATTTTTCTGTTGAGATTTTTTTTAACAATGTAACATGTTCATATTTAAAATTCTGAAAGAGGAATAAGCCAATAGAGAACCTAAGGTCGGAAGGGGAGGGCACAGGGCAAGCCAGCATCACATCATAAGTGTTAGGACAGGGAAACTCACAAAGATGAGGTGTGGGCACCAATGAAGGGAAAGGGAGGCAGCCCTGCTTTGCATTCCTCACTTACAAATGGAGATGGTGCCTGTAGGAGCTCAGGAGGGGAAGAAGAAGGTGACAGGGAAAAGGGTCTCCAGGACAGATCCCAGACCCATAACCAGAGTGCTGTTACTCTTGAGCGAGACAATAGAGCTCCTTTCCTGCATTCAGCAAATCTCTATAAATTGCTTACTCTATGCCAGGGATTGTGCCCTGGAGGTACTGGCTTGTCCTCATTAGTCACATCTACATCTTCAGTGTGTGTTTCTATCAGTCCACAAGGTGCTAGGTGCTCCAAGAGAGTTAACTGGAGTCAGCAGTGGCCTCCCTGAATTCTGTGGAAAAGACAAGATGCATATGCTTCTATTATAGTGCTCAGTGTTTGGAAATGAGCAGTCTTGCATTGTTATGCAAATAGCAAGGTAATAGAATGTGTATAAATTACAATAGCTGCAATTACTCACAGGAAAATTTGTTGGTGCTTAGTTATGTTATTGTGTTCACTGAAGATTATAGCTTGTTACTTTCTGTTCTAATATACTTTAACCACTTAAGTTTTGAAATAGAAATGAAATGCTTAGCAAGAAAGATATATATGTTTCTTATATTGCATTAGACAGGTTAATATGTTTTTGCATTTTATAACAGGGAACTTTATTAGCATGATGAAATTAATGCATGCAGGGCAATATCTTCCGAACCAGTTGTTACCAGTAGATAAAGTCTGATGCGGTAATTGCTAACTGAATCTCAGATCAGGGTTATTACTGAAGTAAAATCATTCACTGTGGGATGATCAGAGCTACAACATTGTGAATTATAAAAGACCTGCATTCGTTCTCTAGTTTTAATTAGCTAAAGAGGTGTCCTGGGTGGTTTTGAAAGGCTCATCTTATCGATATTGTTATTTAGAAATGATTTACGATATTGTTACAGGGTCTGCTAATGTTTCTATCATTAAAGGTCTATCATTTCCATTACAAACTCTGTTGTTGAAGGCTTTGCAAACATGGCTTAAATATTTGTTTCAAAGCTCTATGTGTGTGTGTGTTCAAAACATTTTCTAAGGCCTTAAAACCCCAAGAGTTACTGTTTATGGATGTACCATTATTGCTATTATTTATTCATATAACAATGCCCAGCTTCAATCCCATAAAAAGATATAAACCTAATTTTTTTAGGAAATGACTTCTCTCTTTTATTCATATGTTGTTTATGTTTGAAACTAAGTCTTGGTTACCTGAAAATCTGCATGAGCAGACCTGACATAATATACATTCTGCCACTTAATTATTAGGGTTCTTCTAATATGATGTTCAAATGTTAATACAGTTTCCAGAAGTATCTAACTTATGATCCGAGGTGGCCCTGAGAGAAATTTCCATATTGTCAATTCCTGAATAAGTATAAATAAAATATTTTTGAAGAAAACTGTTCTTCAAAAGATTACAACAATTATATTCTTGAAAAATCTGTTTGCCAGATTTTAATAACAATAGGTTAAGTCATATTCCCTAATGTCTGCATTTATGTCATTACATCATCTCCCAGGTACAACTGAAGGACTGTGGCTACTGCAGTAACCAGGGAAGACGTCCATGGGATCCAGGCCTGTGCAATCCTCGAAGGTTTAGATCTAAGAGGTACATATACTGCAAAAAGTCCTTTCTAGGGAAGTGATAAACTTTCACGGGAGTTTTGTTTTGAACTTGAAGGAACCATATGAATTAACTATTCTTATTTATGGCTCAGAAATGAGAAAAATGAGACCAAAGGAGGTTGAGTATTTGTCCATAGACAAGTATCTAATTAGTCAAAAGACCTTGAGCCAGAATATAGGCAGTCTAGCAATATTTCTTTCTGCTACATGCTTGCCTTGCATTGTTTTTGGATAGTTGGGAAGCTTTCCACTGGCTTTTAGAGCTCTGAGAGGCATTCTTATCCTGACTACTATAGTAACATTATCATAAAACCTCTTGTTCCTAGTTCTCAGGTAGAACCCTCTGTCAGAAAAGGAATCTCATTAGTGATATGCTGAATTTTAACATGTAGATTTTCATATAAAAATATTTTTTTCATGGTGAGAGGCAATAGAATATGAATTACTCATGTTTCATAAGTAAATGCTGTATAAAAATGATCTTGTGAAAAAACCTGAAAGAACACTTATAAGGAGGTATATATCATATTTACAACTGTAGCGGTGAGCTAAGCTCCAGTTAGACAAAGGTATGAAACTAAATTAGAATTTTTGGAACAAGTTTACTCTAATTATTAAACTCAAAATTTATTTTCATAGAAGATTAAAAACTATGTAAGAAATTTTTATTTTTAAAAATATATTTATGTTTCTGAATGTCAGCTATCACAAAATATGCCTTCCTATTAAGTCTCATATTTATTATTATTAGAAGTTACACATGTTTCTGCCCAGTCACAACAAACATTAAAAAAAGCATCACTGAAGGGTTGTGTGTCAGGTGTAATAGGGCCGGATCCAGCATTTGTATCAGTGTGATGCTAGCTGTTATAAAAACACTCAGAATCTATAGTGGCCTAAACACTATTTCTCATTCAGTGAAGTCTCAAGTAGATATTCTTGGCTTGTGGCTAGCTTTCTTCTCAGTCAGGAAACCCAGTCTTCTTCCATCTTGGGGCTCCGTCATCCTCAGCATGTCTCTATGTTCACACCCCGTGGAAAGAGTGGGCGGGAGGCACACTGACTTCTCACCACACTGCCCCGTGGCCCTCACACACATCCCCCGGGCAAGATGACTCACAGGTCCCACCTAGACTCAGGAATGTCAGTTTTGGCTGGGTAGCTGCTTCTCAGTAACAACTCTGTGCTTTGGAAGGGGAAGTATGAATTTGGGAGAGTCAGTTTCCTCTGCCACAATAACTTACCCATAATCAACACTCAAGACACATGATGGTTAAAGACTAGTTTTAGAGGCTAAGGAATAGGATATTAATAATTTCGTTCAGAGAGTGCACAAATTTGTGTTTGTTTATATGACATTTCGGCAAGGGCTTGGGGTTGACTGGCTCACATGGACATTTTAGGCAGGCTAATTGTGTGGTGTCTCTTCAAACTGTCTTTAAATATTTGTTTAATAATTATTTAGCATGAGTGATGACATTGTTTACTCTTAAAGATGTATACCTATTTATGTTCAAAATATAAGCCTTACTATGTGCAATTTCCAAAGTACAAAGCCTATTGGAAGACATGTGTATGACATATATATTAATGTTTGAAGACATATATAAAAGTAAATATATAGTGTTATATACATATTTACTTGTGTATACATATATAATAAAGTAAATTAAATAATGAAGTCACTCAGTCCAAGATCAAAATTCCACACTTTCATTATTCAGTTATGGAATTTGAGCAGGTTGTGAATGCCAGTTTACCTGCCTCTCAGTGGCGTGAACCTGTAGGCTTCAGGGATGGTGGCTTTCTTGCAGGATAAGGCACAATTTAGATCATAGAAACTTCAGAGATAATGTGTCCAGAGGAGCTGAGAAGAGATTTTCTTGCCATTTAAGGGTACTGTCAATTTGAGTGTGAGCATTTTTATTCTAAGTTAGTAGTTACTATAAAAAATGTTGAAAATCCAAAATAACTGGTATCATATTTCCAATTTATCCTAATGATATGTTAGTGCCAAGATTTCCCACCAATTATTCCTGTTTGGCATTTTGTCAGTCTGCCAGATGATTCCACAAGTTTGCAACTTGACAGCATTTATTTATGGCCTCTGGAGAGGTATATTACTTCTAGTTCTGATCTAGCTAATCAATGCCTAAAGAACTATGAATCTGTCTCTACACAGCACAGTAATACCTGGAGGACTTTTTGAGGTCACAGTTCTCTTGAAGTCATAGGGGACTGAGGTTATGCTATGTTGGTTATCTACATCTTCAAAGCAGTGCTCCTTAACCGTGGTGACACACTGGAATCACCAGAGGACCTTGTATGAACTACTGATGCCTGCTCTATCCCCCACCATGGTGGCTCTGATTGCTCTGGAGCGAGACCTGGACATTAATAGTTTTTAACAGCACTCCATCTAATTCTAGGAAGCTCTTTTTAAAAAAAAGCTCCCCAGGATATTTAGCAAGGGTTGAGAATCACTGATCAAAAGTGATAGCCCCTTTATAGCAATGTTTAATGAGTGGAGATCCTTTTATGGAAATCACCCATGATCTGTCAGTCTACAAGCCACTGTGATGGAAAAGTTGGAGCTGGCGGTTTTATTGCAGATGGTCTTGATAAGATAGCTAAGTGTGTTGTTATCTCTCAGATGTTCTGTTCTCACCTCTGGGGACTAACTCTACCTTAACAGCTTATGTTTTAGCCTGACAACAGGGGACATATGAAAAACAAATAGACTCCAGCAATTTATTATCTCTTTTACCCCAAATGATATTGTATTTATTTCTCTTCCATTACTATATTTAATCAATATTAAGAGTGACTTCTGTTTATAAGTGAATATTTCAGCATTTAATCATTTATTGATTCAAAATATTTGTTTATCCTTCTATGTATCAGGCACCACAACAGTCTTACAAGCAAACATATCAGTCTCTTCCCAACCAAAACTGTGGAAATAGACAAATCATTTTGTAGGGTTCCTGTTTATATACCTCAACATCTTTGAGACAAACACTTTACAGTGCTTTGTAAGAGGCAGTTGGATGGCTTTTTCAACAATGAAAGTCTGCCAGTCGTTTTTTTGTTGGGCAAAAGGTATTATTATTAATAGAACACTTACTATAATGATTCTGGGGTTTCTAATGTAGTTACCAAACTCTGGTGCAGTGGTTCTAAACCTTTTGTACTTATGGCATACCACTGCCAAATCAGAGAATTTTGCGTTGTATACATGAAAGGAATGAAATATGAACAGTAGATAAAAAGTAAGCACAGAGTTATTTTTAATAGAGAAAATTAAACAAGTATAAACACCTAACGAAAGGGACTACTCACAAGTTATGGTGCATCATATGGTGGAATGTTACAAAACAGATTAAAGTTTTCTAAAAGAAAATAGAGAAATGCTCATAATATATTATTTAGAGAAAAAGCTGAATATTAATAGCACGATGCTTTCTACAATGCATAAATATTCATACTGACTCTGGTTTTCTCCATCCCCTGGGCACTTTGGGTTGATGGCAAAGTTAGGAAAGTTGTCCTGAACACTTACCCAGGCAAAGGGAGTCTGAGTATCTGTTTTTTTGTGGTCTGGGTTTCCAATTTCTGGTGATTTCTTCCGAGTATGAGGATGGAATAGCCTGGGCAAGACAATATGGATGTCTAACTAAAAGGTTACTACCTAGAAATGACTGGAACCAAAGTGATAGGTCAGCAGCACCTCGTAGCTCTTTTATTTAGTGTAGGCCATCATTTCCACTTACCATGTCACTCTTGGTGGCATAACACCCCTCTCAAATCCCTCTAAAACCTTCCCCCAGAGTGGAATTTCACTAGAACATACACACTCCCATTCCTTATTAGCGTTTTTCTCATTTGTGGTTGGTTTTTCTTATGATTATGTAATATTAGGCAGTGGTTCTCAAAGTGTGGTTCCCTGGACCCACAGCATCAGCATCCCCTGGGAATTTTAATGTTTTAAAATTTTTACTAGTTAACTATGATATCTTCATTATCTTTAGAATTCCCCTAATACTGTTTGTCATTCAACAATTTATAGGATTAAGATAGCTAAAATGTACATAGTTCTTAATTTGTGTTCTTCGTGCTTCTAAGTGCTTTCCAAATATTAACTTATTTAATCCTCATAATCACCTTAAGAAATAGGTGATTATTTCCTTATTTTACAAAGAAGAGACTTGGACACAGGGAAAATAAATAACTCATCTAAAGCCATACAAGTATAAAAAATGCTCATAGGAGAAATAATGGAAGCAAGTATAAAATGTTTAGTAGTGGTTATTTCTGGATGTAGGACTATAGATGGCTTTAAATTTCTTTTATGCGCTGTACTATATTTTCCAAAACAAACACATATTACATTATAAAAAAACTCCAAAATATTATTGAAAAGAACTAAGGCAGACATTTCAGAGAAGACCTGGAGTAAGGGAGCATCAGAACAGAAAAATGAGTTGTAATTTAAAAAACCTTCTCTCTCAGGTCAGGATCCTGGAAGCTGCTGAGCAAGTGAGGAAATAAAGAGCCCCAGGTGTGTGGGCTCCGTGAGCGTCACTGGAAATCCTGGGAGGGCATGACATTGAGCAATCCGGTCTTTCTGATGTCTTAACAGGTTTTGAAACTTATTATCATTGTAGGCGGCAGTGGATAAGTGCGTTTTATCACAGTGAGTCGGGGAGACATTTGATGGAGCAGGACCCAGCTCTCTGCATCCAAGCTGTAAGGAAGCTTGGCCATTAAATAATGCCCTGACTCATCTTTAATTAGGAGCTCAATGTGGGAAAGAAATTAGTGTCTTCCCGTGTGTGGGAAGTATGGAGAAACAGCCGTAAGTTTTCAAAATAGTCCATTATTAACAATCTGCACTGAATCGATTGCTACCCACAGCCCAGTCAGTGCTTAAACAAGCTGGACAATAGCTGAAGTAATTATTTGG